CAAAACCGGAGGAGCTGGCTGAGCTCTGTGTCGCTGCGGATGTGCAACGACACGCAGCCGGGCGCACTCTCTCCAGAGCGGAGTTGTTGGAAGCTCTATCACAGAGCATTGTCGGGGAGCAGGCTTCATGGGGAATCGGCGTTCTTTGAGGATTGTCCATGTCAGCTTCTGTTGCAGCGAGGCGTCAGTGTCGTCGCCAGGTGGGATGTTTTGTGCTTTGAAGTGAAATAGTTCTTGCTGTCAGGCCGATGAACCGGCGTCGCAGCAAAAGCTGCAGGAGCTGCGCGCGGGTTATGCCGAGCAGGGCGAAGCCTGGCTCCGCACCGAGCTGGGGAAGCAGAGTCGGGATGAGCTGGCTAAGCTCTGCGTCGCTTCGGATGTGCGACAGAAGTCAGCCGGGCGCAAGCTCTCCAGAGCGGATCTGTTGGAAGCTTTGTCGCTGGGCATCGTGCAGGAGGAGGTATGACGGGGGGAAGGAGGGCGTGTGTGTGTGTGTGTGTGTGTGTGTGTGTGTGTGTGTGTGTGTGTGTGTGTGTGTGTGTGTGTGTGTGTGTGTGTGTGTGTGTGTGTGTGTGTGTGTGTGTGTGTGTGTGTGTGTGTGTGTGTGTGTGTGTGTGTGTGTGTGTGTCTGTGTGTGTGTGTGTGTGTGTGTGTGTTTCCGTGCTTACAGGTGAATATCGAGGACCTCTTCACGGCAGATGGCTTGCGGCGCTTGGCAGGAGAGCTCGGGGAAAAGGCACCACCTCGAATTCGGGCGCGGCTTCGTGTCTTGCGCTTGCGGGCCGACGGACCCTGTCTGCTGCGAGTGGCCGAAGATCTGGGTGTGGCGTTTGAGAACGTGAGCAAGGAGGTCTTGATTCAGCGGATTGTCATGGCGTTGTGCCCCCTGCGCGTTCCGAGTGCAGACGGTGACATCAAGTACCTAATGTGGAGATGCCTCTACGCGGTTTGCAAAGCCGGAGCACGGGATGCTGCAGCGGTGGTTGCAGCTGCTTCCGACCTCTTCGAGGATGCCAACGTGCTCCAATCTGCGGTTGCCTACTCCTTGGACATCACGGCAGAATCATTTTCCGCGAGACATCTGTCTTCCGATGTGGAGAGAGATCTACTTGCGCAAAAGATTCTGGACAGTCTGCAGCATTGGTCACAGGTCGACACGGCGCTGTCTCGAGAAGTGGGTTCTACGTGGGAGGTTGCTGTTGCCGGCTTGAGAGACGCGACTGTGCCATGTCTGACTTCCTCCATGCAGCATTGTCTTCTTGCAGCCGTGTTGGAAGATCACGTGGATCAGCGGACAGGCGAGCATTATCGCAAATCACGATCTTCGTGTAATGTCTTGGATGCCGTGTTGCTGTCGTGCGTTGTGCGTGTGAGTTCGGGAAACAGGTTGGTGGCGTCTTGCAGATTGCCTCGAGCGAGTGGACCCCGTGGACGTTGCTCGCCGGCTCTGGTATCTGGCCAACCTCGAGGCGGAGCCGCGAGCGTGTGCAACGGACGGGTACGAAGATCGCCAAGAGGTGTTGGAGGCAACCCGCGCGAAGCCGTCCCGAAACATAGAGAGTCTGGGACGTGATCGTGCATGGGGTCATGGACATAATGAGGATTAAGTTGGACTGTAGCTTCATGTGCGCACGCGTTGCTGTGCGTTTCTCGCTCATGTTTGTTTCACCGGGTCCTGGCAGGCTGTCCTGAGCATTATCCAGCACAAGTTTCGGACTCGCAAGTTCGATCGGGCCGATACCACACTGCTTCGGGGCTGATGCGTGGGTATGGTTGGGAGCGACAAGCACAGCCGGACGAACCCTGCTACTGGTACCAGACCTTCGGGCACGTGCGGAAGTCAGAAGACTGGTCGCAATTTGCTTGGTTTTTGGTGACGGAGCTGTTGCACCCGCTGGCTGGCATCGGCATTCGTGACTTGCACAATCCTAACACAGTGTCGGCAGCTAGGGCTAGCGAGCAAGGCATAGATAAAGACACGCTCACCTTGCGGAATCAGCTTCTGGACTGGCAGACGACTGAAGGGTGTTACCGTTTGCCTTCGCGAGAGGAGAATCCAGTCCTGGCCGAGCGTGTTGAAGCGTACTACCCTGACGGTGCCACTGCGAGGGCTCGGGCCATGAGAAAGGCTTATCCGCCGGATTTCGATCCGTTGTGCTGGCTGGCACTTGACTGCCTTGGTGATGGCTCGGAGGCGCTAGACGGCATTCTCTGGCGTTCGGCCGTGGAGCGGGCAGTGCTGTTCGCCGTCCCCGGCTGGTGTGAGTCCTAGTGAAGTGGGGTGTTTCACTTCGGAACGGTGTCTTCCCAAATCCCGAATGGCTGCACTGCCTTCCGCTGCTGGACTCCCGGTGCCACGAGTCGCGCAGCAGCTCAGCGAGGTGGACCCGTTTGTGGTATAGGATAGATCTTAAATCCCTAATCATCCTTTGAGAGACCTGTGTTGTGACTGCCGCTTGGGAATGTTTGCCAGATGCCGCCGGATTTCTTCTTCTGAGATAGTATACCTTGGGTTGATACACAGGGTGTCACCGAAGCCTGGGGCTCTCGATGAATGTCTGCAGCTAGAATCAATCTTTCTAGAGGAGGCTCTGGACCACCGTGATCCCTGCATTAGTCCTACTAGGCCCTCGTGGATTATCCGGTGTGAGTAGACACGAAATAAGGACCCCTAAGCCCGTGGCGTTCCCCTGGAGTCTGTTGGGTCGGCTAAGAAACATACGCTGGCCTGTTGTGGTTTGAGATAAAGAGCGAAACCCTAATTCCCTACTACTTTCAGAGACCAGTGTTGCGACTTCCCTTTGGGGATGTTGGTCGGCTGCCGCTATGTTTCTTCTTCCATGATACTATACCCTGGGTTGGTATAATGCGTGCTATGGAGGCTCGGGGCTCCCGATGAACCTTTGCAACTACAATCAGCAGTTTTCATGAGGCTCCGAACCGCCGTAATCCCTGGGATGACCTCTCCCGGCACCTCCTCAGGCCGCGCGGCCCTTGACTCCACGGTGAGCCGTGCGGGCCGCGAATTCTTCGCTCTGGCTAGGTTGCACCGTTGCTTGCTTGCTTCGACGCTGTCTTGCGAAAGAGCGAGCAAGCAACGTGGCGACCTACTCTCACTGTAACTCTATGACGTTATGACTTATGACTCATGGACTCCATGACTCTTGACTGTATGTGCCTCTCGAGGTCCAGGTCGGGCTATGAGCCCTCACGCTATGGGGATCTCGATTAAGCGTTCCCACACATAGAGCATAGAGTGAACTACATCGAGTCAAGTGCATGGTACATAGATGACTCCATGACTCTGCGAGTTGATCTCACTATGACTCTATGACGCTATCTCACTGTAACTCTATGACTTTATGACTCATGACTCATGGACTCCATGACTCTTGACTGTATGTGCCTCTCGAGGTCCAGGTCGGGCTATGAGCCCTCACGCTATGGGGATCTCGATTAAGCGTTCCCACACATAGAGCATAGAGTGAACTACATCGAGTCAAGTGCATGGTACATAGATGACTCCATGACTCTGCGACTTGATCTCACTATGACTCTATGACGCTATCTCACTGTAACTCTATGACTTTATGACTCATGACTCATAGACTCCATGACTCTTGACTGTATCTGCATCTCGAGGTCCAGGTCGGGCTATGAGCCCCCACGCTACGGGGATCTCGATTAAGCGTTCCCACACATAGAGCATAGAGTGAACTACATCGAGTCAAGTGCATGGTACATAGATGACTCCATGACTCTGTGACTTGATCTCACTATGACTCTATGACGCTATCTCACTGTAACTCTATGACTTTATGACTCATGACTCATGGACTCCATGACTCTTGACTGTATCTGCATCTCGAGGTCCAGGTCGGGCTATGAGCCACCACGCTACGGGGATCTCGATTAAGCGTTCCCACACATAGAGCATAGAGTGAACTACATCGAGTCAAGTGCATGCTACATAGATGACTCCATGACTCTGCGACTTGATCCCACTATGACTCTATGACGCTATCTCACTGTAACTCTATGACTTTATGACTCATGACTCATGGACTCCATGACTCTTGACTGTATCTGCATACGATCCTACACACTGGATCTATCACATAGCCCCACACTCTTCGCTGATGATGCTTTCGGGCCAATTGTCTTCTAGTTTCTTAGGGGGCTATATCTGGGGATCGGGGAGGGGGGGCTAGCTATTGTCAGGGGAGGGGGTTAGTTTTTCAACGAGGAAACAGCATGGCAGTTACTACTCTTGCGATGCAACTGTGCCCAAACTCAGGGAATATGCTTCTCCACAGCAAAACCGTGTGACAGTTACCCCGTTTGGAAAGCGATGGTGCCAAGACCCAAGGGAAACGCACATTCCGAAACAGGTCGCCAAAAGACTGAAAATCATAAGAAGCAGCGTTTCACATAAGTTAAAAGACAGATCAAGAAATGGAGCATGTTCAGTTTCTCTCATCTTGTCTCTCTGTCTCTCCATGGACAAAAAAGCGCGATGCGAATAGACTATTGTGTTCTCAACTTGCATTTGCGAGCACGCTTGCTTGGATCTCTCCTTGCGCAAAGAGACTTTTTCATGTTAAGGCCGCGAGATGCCGCGAGCACACTTGGACCTCTCTCCGTGCGCAAGGAGTGAGACATGTCCATGCGACGCGACCGGCTGCTGCGTTCCCACGGTGTGAGCACTGTTGGATCTCTCGCCGTCCGCAATGAAGACACATGCTCACGTCAAGCGACTGCTGTGTTCTCATGCCAAGAGCACATTTGGATCTCACCGTGCGCTATAAGAGATACGAAAAGGCTCCGGCGATGTGGCGTTGTCTTTCTCCGTGTTTAAAGAGACATGTTCAAAGACGACAGCGATCTCGCGCAACCCCCTGGATAGATGGCTTTTCATTGCCCATGCCAGTTCCAGCGTCTACAGTCAGCCACACGCACACATCCCTTGAGCTCTCGGCAGCCCGTATTCCGAAATTTAGTCACCGTGCGATTGCTGGTTGCATTAAACTGTAGCCCACACAATGAGGCACCCGCCTGGAGATGCACCCTGTCACCTCGGTGGCCCAATAATTAGGACATGATTTCGGGGCCGCGCAACCGCGTCTAAGATCGCGGCTCTCTGGCCATCCAGGCGCCTCCAAAAGTCGCAGATGTCGCAGACATTCGCAGACTCTCAGAGTCCACTCTCACTTTGACCAAAGTGTCCCAGTCGGACCTGGAGGCCGCTCGATCTCGGGTCCCCTGGAGGCCGCATCCTTTCGCAAAGACTCGCACGCTTACGCTTGCAGTTTTCGCGGCATTTTGGGCTCTGGATTCTTGGATTCTTGCCTTTTAGTCTTCCCATACTTCCTTCTTTGGCTTGGTAAAGCTTAGGGTAAGGAAGATGGCTTTTCCCTCGATTTTGGCACAAAATCTAGGAGGTTTCTCCCTCGTTGACGGAGAAAGGGATATGCCTTTCACAACATTTATCAACCGACCCTGGAACCACGAAATCGCTTTGTGCCTGCCCGCATCAAGGGGAGATTGACTGCGATCTCCCGCTCGCGGAGACAAGCTGCGAACCCTGCGATCCTCAGTGCGATACACCCATCGGGTTTAGGCGCAGCAAGAGCCCCCCAAGTGCGTGTGCAATCCGCAAACCACGCTGCGCCTCTGAGATTTGCGGCGATTTGTTGGCACTGCTCTGCTCCGAGGTGTCGATCCTTGCGGCTGGACATCTTGTCGTGAGTGCGAGGAGTGGGAGAGGATCAATGCACCTTGCTGATGGTGGTGGCTCAAGCTCTTCCCGATCGTTTCTTGACCTCGACAGGCCCCAGTCATGATCATGAGCAAATGGCTGGATGCTGTCATACGCTGATTCAATGCCTGGTTCTGGTGAACGGAAGGCGCTGCGTGGGAGAAGCTGGAGTGTCGCTGGCCTGCTCTGCTCGCTTGGAGTATGTATGCACAGTTGTATGTGCGCATAAACATATACGTATACCCATCTGTACGTATATGTTGCACAGTGTGCAACGGGGCCTTCTTGCCGCCGACCAGGCCTGCCATCTGCTCCGGCCAGGTGCGGCCGTGCCTGATTGCATGCAGGCTAGACCCCGGCTTTTACGAGGCACACTTGCGACTGCGCGTGGCAGCACAGGGCATCAGTTCCTGACATTGAAAGATCCTCCAGAATCTCGCGAGAACTCATCGCCTCATTGGCCCATGCAAGAGTGGCACCTCTGTTTCTCACCTCGCTCAGCTTCACTCTGAGTTGCAAGCTGGAGAGGGTGGCAGTTTGTTGGAATTCAGAGGGGATGTGCGAGATTTCCGCGCAACAGGAATTGCTTTGCATTCCAGTCCTAAGCCGAAGTCGCGAAGTCGCTTCTATGTCTGTCACGAAAGTGGGCAACTCATGCGCAGACCTCGATGCTCATCGGCAACCTGTACATGCCACATCCCAGCACTACCACGACCCTGCATCGATGGCGTGCGCTACTTATAAGAGGCACTCGCACAACATTTCATGCCTCAAGATCAAGTCCACCTCGGCTTCTTCCAGCAGAGCTGGACGTCCTTGGTTCAACGAAGCAGCAGTGATGGCTCACTCCTGCATCTGGCTTGCAAAAATGTTTGCAAGATTCAACACAACCACAGCCCGAGCGTCCAAGATTGGTTGCTTGAAGATCTGGAAGGCGCAGATCTGTTTCCACGTCGAATATCTGGAGCAGGTGCTGGGGGAGATCCAGAGGCCTGAGCACGGACACACGCGGACCCAATACCATCGCAACCAATCATACCGACAAACAAACGAACAAAGAAAGACGCAAAATCAAAGAACGGAACAAACAAACAAAACAAGCAAGCAACCCACCAACCAAACAAACAAGCACACAAACAAACACACGAACAACCAAACAAAAAACAAGCAAACAAGCAAGCAAGCAAGCAAAGAAACCCACAAGCAGACAAACAAACAAGTAGACCAAAGCGAAAACAAACAACAACAAATACACACACACACAAAGACGACCAAACAAACAAACACCACACACAGAGCACCCGCACCGGCACCCGCACTTATGAGTGCATGCACGCACCCCACGGCTCTACCACGTTGCGCTGCAAGAAGCATGAGGCCTTGAGCGTGCGAGCTCCATTCTCACGACCTGCATATCGCCAACTTTTGTTGGAGTTTCGCACGTAGGCTTCAGTCAGTGAGTGAGTGGGGATGATGCGGCAATCGCGCCTGGATTGCCCGGCATTCGACGGTGACCGGCCTCGATAAGGCAGACCCTTCCAGTTCGACTGCTTCATAGTGGTAGGATGATCATGCCAGTAGTAGCAGTCGCAGTAGCAGACCTGGTAGGAGTAGGAGTAGTAGTAGTAGTAGTAGTAGTAGTAGTAGTAGTAGTAGTCGTAGTAGTAGTCGTAGTTGTTGTTGTCGTAGTAGTAGTAGTACTACTACTACTACTAGCAGTAGCGGTAGCAGTAGCAGCAGGAGTAGGAGGACGAGTAGGAGTAGGAGTAGTAGTAGTAGTAGTAGTAGTAGTAGTAGTAGTAGTAGTAGTAGTAGTAGTAGTAGTAGTAGTAGTACTAGTAATAGTAGTAGTACTAGTAGTAGTAGTAGTAGCAGCAGTAGAAGTAGTAGTAGCAGTAGTAGTAGCAGCGTACAAGTATTCGTACTAGTACTAGCACTAGTGCTGTACTACTACTACTACTACTACTACTACTACTACTACTACTACTGCTACTACTACTACTACTACTACTCCTACTGGTCCTCCTACTACTCCTACTGCTGCTACTACTACTACTACTACAGCCACTAGTACTGTGTGACGTGGATTTAGACCGATCTTGGGGCAAGATTGGCATACAATTTTGCCCATCTTGCCTTTAGCTTGCTCGTCGCTGCGGGGTGGCAAGATTGGCGTGCAGGCTGGCCCGTGTTGGTAGTTGTTCCGATGGGGGCCCCCCAAATTCTTGTGACCTTGCTGTTTTGCTATTTCCATGGAAAACCCTAAACCCAACCCCTAAACTCTAAAACCCTAAACCCTACCCCAAACCCCGATCCCTACCCTAAACCCTAAGCCCTGTGCAAGATTACAAAATTAAGGCTACAAAGTTACCATGCGCTTCCCTCCCTAGGCGACAACCACTTTTCAAGATTGCAAGTTTGGCAATCTTGCAAACCCCTGTGGACGACCAAGATTTCAAGATGACCAAGTCAAGATTGTGTACTATCTTGCCCCCGCACCAAGATGGGCAAGCTTGGCGAGATGGGGAAGATTTACCAAGTTTACAAGTTGACCAAGTTTGGTGCAGCACTGATCGGCTCCAAATTCCCAGCACCATGGACTGGAACTACCACTACGACGACGACGACGACGACTACTACTACTACTACTACTACTGCTACCACTACCACTACCACTACCACTACGACTACGACGACGACTACTACTACAACACTACTACGACTAACTACAACTAACTACAACTAACTACAACAACAACAACAACAACAACAACTACTACTACTACTACTACTACTACTACTACTACTACTACTACTACTACTACTACTACTACTACTACTACTACTACTACTACTACTACTACTACTACTACTACTACTACTAGCCCCCCCCCCGCCCCCCCCCTACCAACCATGTCTTTTACATACTCTTGTAACCCACATCCGTTTTACTCGGTATTTACAGCACTTTCGTCATGTAGGAACATCTTATGAAGCTAGAAATTTCACCTCCGAGTTTTCAAACTCCAGCATCCGATTGTGGATTTTTTTGTTGTGGGGGTGCGTGGGTGTGCGGGAAGAATGAAGTCGAGATTGTTACGCGGACACCTCGAACAACATCTCCGCAGGAGCCATTTTACTCGGTATTTACGGTACTTTCGGGATGTCCGCCATCTTATAAAGTTGCCAATCCTACCTCTGGACTTTGCTACGTTGTCTTTTGCCTTTGCGAGGGCCTGCAGCTAAAAACTCGAAATTGGGTGGGGAAAAGCTTTCTTTTACTCGGTCTTTAAAGTACAATGCTCAGGTCAACTCCATTACTAACAACGAGTTTTCAAACTCCAACATCCGATTCTGGACTTGCTTTTGGCAGGGGGTGGGGGGGGGTGCGGGAAGAATGATGACGATATTGTTACGCCGACACCCCGAATAACATCTCCGGAAGAGCCATTTTACTCGGTATTTACAGTGCTTTCGTGATGTCAGCCCTCTTTTAGTCGCCAAGCCTACCTCTGGACTTTGCTACGTTGTCTTTTGCCTTTGCGAGGGCTTTCAGCAAAAACTCGAAAACGGGTGGTCATAACTGTTCGAGGCTGCCTGTACGTTATCAGCCCCCCCCCCCCCAGCCCCCCCCCCCCCCCCTCCCCCAAGCAACGCATGGAAAAGGGTATGGTTGGTAGGGGGGGGGGGCCGCTAACTACTACTACTACTACTACTACTACTACTACTACTACTACTACTACTACTACTACTACTACTACTACTACTACTACTACTACTACTACTACTACTACTACTACTACTACTACTACTACTACTACTGTGCCACTCCTACAAGTACCACTACCCTGCGGCTACGGCCACGACCGCCATCCTCACCCCCATGCCCAACCTGGAGCCCTGATGTAGCTTCATCACACGCATCAACAATGGGGCTGCCACGTACTTGGGCGAGCTGTAGAGGGGATCCTCTTCGCACATGAGCGGCCCTCCAGACCTCACAAGGCTAGATTGTGACAAGCACTCATGCTTTGCAGACCACCATCAACACTTGTTGGTTCCCGTGCTGTTACATGGGCTTCAAGCATGCATGTTGTAATCTCCTTCCGGCATACGACAGGTGTGTTTTGACACCAGCCGCACGTCGAGTGTGGACCGCATGCGACCTTCGAGGGCAAACGTCCCCAACCTGTCTATAGGGTGTGAGAAGCCACTTGCACTTGGCAGTGACTGTTTGTGACACCGAGCACTTCTACACGGTACCTGGTGCATATTCGCTGCTGATACCACTCAACTTCGAGGTGGTTCTTCCCAGATGCCTGTGATGCACTCGCACAAGCGCGTACGAGTGCTGCATGATTGGCGTTGGGTTTCTGCTCTGGCAGAGTCGAGGCGATTTGGCATGCGATAATCGCGACCATCATTGGCAAGAGTAAGCTGGCAACTTTCATCCGCTTCGACATGCACTCAGCGTACGGCTTCCAACAGCAGTGTTCATCTGCTGGTCTCTATGGTCTACAACCTGGTAGCTCGAAGACAGCAGCTACCGGCGCATGCAGTATACATCAAACAAAGTGTTCGTGTGCGTGTGTTACGAGGTGCGTCGTGTGTGTGTGTGTGTGTGTGTGTGTGTGTGAGTGTGCGTGTGTCTGTGCGTGTGCGTGTGCGTGTGCGTGTGCCTGTGCGTGTGCGTGTGCCTGTGCGTGTGCGTGTGTGTGTGTGTGTGTGTGTGTGTGTGTGTGTGTGTGTGCGTGTGTGTGGGTGTTTGTGTGTGTCTGTCTGTCGGTCTGTGTGAACGTACCTGCGTGAGAAGACATGAACTGACGGATGGATGGATGTGTGGTTATGTACTTACGTACTCATGACTGAATGTCATGTCCTGCATGCAGGGAGGTAGGTAGGCAGGAAGGTAGCTAGTAGGTCTAGTAGGTCGGTATGTCGATAGGTTGGTGGGTGGTGACAGGTAGTACGAGTAATTCGGTGAGTAGCTGAGTACAGGTATGCGTGCATGTATGCGTGCCTGCAGGATGTGCTGATTTTTATACAATATAAACCAAGGTATCGGTATGTATCGGTTCACATAGTAATATGATGTGATTTCATGTCGTGATATAATATGATATAGTATTTGTAACTGTAAGCATAAGATATGAAGAGAAACAGTAAACATGAGAAAATTATGTAGCATTTATCTGCAGTCTTTTTACTCACATTCACATTAAGGTTAGTATGTCTCTGCGTGCGTCAGTGCGTCTATACTACCGTACTGCATGGATTTCTGTGCAGCGGTTGTCGTGTTCTCGTGTTCAGGAATTCGGGCTTCAGATTTCGACTATTTCAGACTCAGAACATCAAAGCGTGCCGGTGTGGGGCGGGGGGTGGATTGCGGGTGTTGGGGGCTGGGGGTTGCGGAGTGACATGCCCTGCAACAACATCCGCAACAGCATCATCAACATCAGGGTCATTCATCATTATGATCGTCGTCTACTTCTCCATCATCTTTGGCCGACCTAAACCTAAACCCGACAAAGAATCAACACAGCGAGCCACACGTGCAATTGAACACAGTGCAGGGCAGTGCAGGGTATATGGCCAGCCGAGTCAGGAAAGCGAAACGAACTTCGAACACAGTGGTCTGATTCTTCAGAAAACTGCGAAGCTTCCAGGTCCAGGTGCCCTCGCATCAAGCAGTTACTTGCTACGGTTTGCAGATTTGTTCTTGGTTTTGAAGCTTTGGGCTCTGGGACTTCATCGCTGTATTTTGCACATTCGGCTTGATGACTTGGGGACTTGCCTTTTTTAATAACCTGGCTGGATCTACAGGTTCACCACTTGTAACTTTTCAGCTTCCCCTTTTAAGCTTACCGGTTCAGTTGTTCAACTTAGGACTCCACAAACGATACGTCTACAGAAGCAACACATATTTCGCACATATCGAACAAAATCCATAAACTTCCAGGTCCGCCGAATGCTTGCCACTTTGGCTCTCGGAGGGCACAAATAGAGCACCGTAAAAGCCAGAGGATTTTTTGCCTGGAGCATCGCGTGCTACCTTCAACACCTGTATGTCGAAATTGCTACCAAAATCTACGTGTACCAGCATTCCAACAACATGGACTGCTTTGTTTGGAGCCCTCAGAACGTTTGAAACTGTGGTAAAACCATTGCTAGTGCACAACAGCGGAGTGTTTACGAATGTATGCTTGTACCTATTTAGGTTGACTGGCAGGTAGGTGGGAGTGTCTTCGTATGCCTGCTGTATATACCTTTCATATCTTTCGAGACCAGAAGGGGAGTCGGAAGCGAGGGCAGCGTTCGAGTACTTTGGAGTTACATGGACGATCCTCGCAAGCCGGCGCTGGGACTGGCAGCCTCGACGGCGACACCGTCTCGGGAGTCTTCAGAGAAGCAGGAGGAGACCAGCCAAAAGGGAGGCGAAGGTGGCAGACGGCCAAACCGGCAAGGGTCGGGCGACGCAGCCAACCCAATCACGGGCGACTGGCAGAGACGAGCAACTGTGGCCCGCAACAAGGATCGGGACGGCAATCAGCTAACTGGGTCAGGCAGCCAAGGCTGCCGAAGATCAGGAGGGCATTGCCAGGACTAGCAGGATGGAAGGACAGGGGACCGTCGGAGCTGAGGGAGGCCGTGAGGGCCGTGGCCGCCTGCTCCTCCGATTGGAGGATGCTACTCTGTGGTCGCTACTGCCGAGCCAGGTCTGCACTTCGTCGCATGAGGCGCAACCTCTTCAATGGCGAAATCAGGCGGCGTGCCACGCCAACGTCTCCACGCCTGATTTGCTTCCCATGAAAGGGTATAGACTTGAATCGAATGGGTCTAAGGTTCTATGTAGTACTAGTACCGGTTGACACTTCAGGTGCCGCAGTGTACATGCCGACTTTTCACGGGCGCTGCCCTCCCGACCACTTCGCATCGCTTGTTGCGATCATCTTTCACTTGGGTGCTTCGAAGCTCACAGGGCACTACCGAGCGGCCCTCTGCGTAGTAGCGCCTGTCTCCACACTGCGTCGTGCAGCATGAGTCGCTGCCCGAACTGGGGAAACGGTGCTGTCAATCAGGCCTGTCGGGGCACTTTTAAGTTGTGTGCCACCACCCCCATGGCGGACACGTCGGGTGGATCGTGATCTGTTACTACTGGCAGCTCATCTTCGGATTCATGGGTCTTTTGCGGCATCCCCACATGGAATTTGCCTGTTAGTGATGTGGACACCGAGCAAATCCGAGCAATGGTGTGCAGCCTTTCGGAGCTGCCGGCTCGAAGTCGCATAGCAACTCCAGGATCTCTTGCAAGAAAGAAGACGTATGTATGTATGTATGTATGTATGTAGGTATGCAGGTATACGGTATACTGTATGAGTGTATATGCAAGTAAACGTATGTATCTGGGGACATGTGTATGGGTTCGGAAGAAGACTTGCAGAAAAAGGAAAGCTTGGGATGGCTGGTAGCCCCAATGCCGAGATATAAGGAGATGGACTCGAAAGCCATTGGGCTCTGCCTGCAGAGGTTCGATTCCCTTCGCTGTCGAAACCTTTTACTGCATCAGCTCTGTATTGTCATCGCATTTCGTTTTCTTTTCGATTTTTTGGGTCCACAGCAGGTAGCTCGCCTGCCTGGTTGTCGGTTCGTCTCGTCTTTGCATTCGACCCTTTCGCGGCTACCTTTTTTTGGGTGGGAAGGTGGGTGCATTTTAAGCTCGAAATTCATCGGGCTTTGCAGGCCTTCGAGTTCCCTCGGTGTCGATAGTCTTTTACTACAGCTCTGTAGGGTGCCATCTTTGCGATTTGTGGAGTCCGGCACGACCGACGGCGTGGTAAGCTTATTAGTGGCAGTTGTGCATTGCCCGGCTACGCTGACGCCCGCAGTTGCAGAGGCTTACAGGAGGATCACATGGATGTTCTATACCAGCGGAGCAACACGCCACAAGCATCCACAAGCGTGATCAAGCGGCTGTGGGCGATTTGGCGCGTGCTCCAACGTGTCGGATGGCACGTCTCTGACCGATGATTGTGGATTGGGGGTAAGACGTCGACTCCAATTGTACAAAGCTATAACAAGGACTGGGTGCATGCAATGCTGGTAAAAGAGGCACTGGATCTGGTTTGAGATGTCCTTTGCTGGATCACCTGCTGAAGGGTGGTGGATGGAACGGAACAGTTGAGTTCCATACGAATCCGGTGCCACGCCCAAACATCCACCTATGGTTACATCAATGTCCAGGTCATCTCGGCAATGATATGCTGAGATGATTTATTCTGACATCCTTCGGAAAGTGCCATGTGCTTTGTGTGAGGGTATATTATAGGCTGGCTTTCGTGACAGGTCAAGGTGTCCTGACACTTCTCCTCTGAAGTAACCTTTCGACGGTTTGATTCTGCAATGTTAAAAACGAGACGGCTTTTTCGGATAAATGCTGCGAGCGGATACAGCTTTTCATGACCTCATTTCCCCTTATTTGGCCAGATTGCATGCCCGGTGCTGTTTGCTGCTGCAGCGCCGGGGCACGCGAAACAGCTTAGGGGGTGAGTCATACTTCTGCGCAAGCGCTGGTGAAGTGTTCAATGTGGCTAGTGCAAGCTCACCGTCCCGTGTAATCTTGTTTTAGCCAGAAATCCATGTGCTAGGCACATGTCCGGCTAGGGCACACCAGTACGCACATATGTAGGAAGGTCGGTAGGCAGGTGCGTGGTCATGCGGATGGGTGCTGGCTCAAACTTAGGATCTGAGATCAGTTGACTGCAACAGCAGGAATAACAACAAATCTCGAACTCTGGATTGTCAGGGTGAGGTCAGCGGTCAATCATCTGGAGGTGGATGCCTTTGCCACATCCGGACATCTGTGACTCTTTGCAAAGCGAGTCCTGGATTTCGTGTAAGAAACTGTGGCCGTCTGTCTATGCACTTTTGCACAGTAGTCACTTGCAGATAGGTGTGGAGGCATCTGGCAATGCTAGGGACGTGGCTGCAGTGGTCCAACCAAACATCCCAACGAGGAGGAGCGCTTTGGATTTCCTGCAGACACGGTGTTGAGCTGTGGAGGTTGTACGTGCGCGTCGTGTAGCAACCAACAGCAACCAAATGCATTTAGCCGCAAGATCTGCTCGCTGGTTCAGCATTATCCGCTCCAACAACCCGCCTGGTGCTCGGCCTCGATCGCCCTCGGCACGCTTGCCGCCGTTTCTCGATCCAGCCGTAGACCTGATGCCACCATTTTGAAAACCAGCCTAAACCCTGGTTCCTTTCGTGTCATCTCACCTGGCTCTTTCGTCACCACGAGGGAGAAATGATGTTTACCATGTGCTTGTCCAGCATCTCTTTAATTGCAAGTGTATCAAGTGTGCTGTTAGATGGTATAAACAAGGCACATTCCGCAACTTGCCAAGACGTTCCAGGACGTAAGCTTTGACGGAACGGCTGCTACAGGTGGCTCGAAACGAAGCCTGGTCTTTTGATTGGCATTCTGTGCTTAAACTGCGGCTCTGAGGGTCCAAGGCCTTCTCTAATCCTGTCCCTGCCTGGATGGCTTTCGCACAGGCATAGACGGGTTCACGGCGACCTGTGACGGTGAATCAACTGCTATGCACAAATCTTCTGGAAGAGCTCGAGGAAGCTAGGATTCACCTTGGCCTCGGCTGCGATTGGGTGCGAGACCTCTGCTACCAATGAGGCGTTGATGCTTTGATGATTTGTCTGGCAAGCATACGGGGCTTTCAGCTCGAAAGACAGAGCACAGGGGCTGAGGCAACCTGTCCTCCTTCGGCATCAGGTGGTCCTTCACACGTCCATAGAGGCTAGGATGAAGCTATCGGCAGGCGAGCCAAGTCTTCAGCCAGGTTCCTTTCATCAACCCATCGCTCCTGACTCGCTTGCAGCTGGCGAGACTTGATCCTGCTGCACAGCTTCGCAGAGGAACTGCTTTCACTGCGCACAGGCAAGCCCTTCTCAACCCGACATGGTGCACAAACAGTGCAGCTGGACGATAGCTATGCTATCGGAAGCCGAAACAATTCAGAGGATTGAACTCTGACGCAGTACGACTCGCTCAGTCTACGAGTATCAACGCATCGAACACAGCAGTGAGTGAGGGCATCAAAGCCAGCCTCCCAGAAGAGAGCTGAACTATGTTCAATATCCAACTTCGGAGAAGTTGAACTTGCCGCAACACGTTATTGATTCATCGCGGCGGTTCGTCCCTCTGCTGAAAGCGTCCACGTGACGGCAGATCGGTCTGAGATCATTCTGAGCCGGAACGTTGATGTCAGGGATGGCGTGCTATGATGTGGGAAGCCGCGGCCGTGGGTTGGCTGTTGAACATGCCTGTCAGGGACGGTGTGCAATGTCCGGAGTTCGCCGTTGGGCCCAACATCAGTATCCTGGCTGTTCTTCGCGGCGTCAGGCTTAGGTGACTTGAGCTATTCGGGGGCTGCTCAGCGTTTCCCTGCATGCCTAGACTGCAGTTGTGCGAAGGGATCGACTAATTACTGCATTCCCAGCTAAGTCCCAAGCAAAACTTCTGCCGTTGCAGATTGAGGCTACTCAAAGTCAGCAAGTCACCTAATCGTGGCATAAATTCGGTTTCATGCGACATAGCCTATCGTAATGTAGAGTAGTGCTACTGAATTCACTTCTTCCTTACAACTCAAGACATGAAACCGGCCTGGGCCTGCATTTCGGAGCACACCGGGGCTATGCTCGTGCAGCGCTGGTCGGACCTCCGAACGTGCCACGTTTTGTCTGAAGACAAACTCTGCACCGCAGCCTCGTCGCTCCGGTGACACCTCTTTCGGCACCCTCATCGCACCTTGAGCATGAACATCTGGGAAGTTGCAACGCCAATGCAAGGCCGAACCGATTGAATGTAAGGCGGCAGCCATCCACCCTCGCCGATGCTAACGACGGCATCAGAATCTTGAGACTCTGACTGATACCAGTCCTAAGACTGCAGCAGATTGGAAGTCTCGTGCGGAGTACCGCCAGGCACATGAGCTGAGCGGCATCCTTGCTGGCGCAAATCTCAGCTTCTGCCCTGGCAAGATGCCAGAGTGCTGGAAACCACCAAAGCGCAAACCGCAAAGACACCAATAGAGTACTGTAGACCTTTCACCCTTTCACACCTCTCTCTTTCGCAAGCCTCCTGAAGTCTTCGACTTCAGCTGGACATGCAGTCTCCCACTCGGCAAAGAGTTTGCTTGGCCTGTCCAAAGAGCTTCGGAGCGGTACTCTTCCAGACTTCCAGCTGCAAGATCGACTCGCCTCACGCCGGTCCCATCGCTGATGCTGCCGGGCCTTGGCTGACCCAGCCCGCTTCTGACCAGTCCGGAAAAAATGGCACGCCCGCTTCCGGCAGGTGGGAAGAAGACGATGTTTCAGATGTTTCAAGACGCGAGCAAAAGTGAACATGTCCCGAGACCGGAGTTTTCTGCTTGCAGTGGTTCAGACGTTCAGACACCTACGAGTGTTTTGAAAGCTGGAGCTTCTTCCCTTGGCCCGACAGTTGCCTGTGCAAAGCCGAGCTTCAACGCATCACGCAGGTCGACGAGGTTTTACCGCGAGCTGGTCAGCTATATTCAGCTGTGCATTGCGTAAAGCTTTTGGAGTGCTTGGTGCAGCTTCTTAAAGGTCTCTTACTCGCTTGCCTAGGCTCAAACTTGTCCAAAATGCCTCACAGCAAGCTTGCTTGTCATCACAAGTTTTCCTCAAGAAGGGATAGTCAATTTGCGAGCGACGTCACAGCGCATTTGGGGCCCGGGAACTGTTCGCGCTGTGCGACTCCACCCATGTTTCCACAAACAACAACGGCTCAAAGTTTGGACCGTTCTGCAGGATTGAAGGCTTGGCAAAGATCTTCACCATTAGTGAACCTACAGCCCTACCGACCTGCAACAAGCGACCACCGGGTGCCTGACGCGATTTGCACTTCAAGGGCCAGTGCTGCCTTGACAATGTCGCCTAACGCGCCGCAGCAGAGGTCATGCTGTAGTTGTACCAATCACAGGCAAGGTGAGCCACTTACAAAGCTGTCCTGCCTCCAGCAAGTGGCTCACCATCGCGCATGCTTAGCATTTCGAGGATGCCTTCTGTATCTTCTTGCAGGAGCCTCGTATACGCACCAGCATCTTGCAAAGTCGCTCGACAATTTCGACAGCAGCTGTTGCCTCGATCTCCACAGCTTGACAACACCCAAGGCGATCAATACGACGGCCTCATCGAGGGGGCAGACCGCTTGGCTAGACTGCTTCGCTTTCCGAATGCCGATCCCTCTGCCTGCAGGCCATCGCAAACGATCAGGTCCCAAACACCTGCTGGCTGCACCATGCCGTGCTGGCCCAGGCATAAGGACTTGCCAGGCTGACGGGCAGCCGCGTCAAAGCAGAGAGGCTGGGTGAAAACGGTGAGTATCCACCTGTCCCGACTCACAGCCACATCGAAATGGTCACATTTCGCGTCATCTGCAAAGATCACGCAGCTCCTGTGCACTTTTTGACAGCGCTAGTATTTCAACGATCTTGAGTCTTTCCTCACGGAGCTCAGCGCATTCAGCTTGGCTTCGCATCTTGCGCTGGTATATACACATAAGCCATGGACAAAACATCGCAAGCTGAGAATGGGTTTTCACTCAAACGGCATTCGCAGGTGTAGAGGACTCGACTGTTCTTTCGCGAACTCTATTGCGATGTTTCAGATTGAATCTGCTGCCGCATCAGGCACTTCCTCGCAAACAGCAGGCCATGATGGACAGCCACACAGACACACAGAGATAGTGACAGAGACAAACAGGCAGACACACACACACACACACGCGCAGAGACAAACACTTTCTGAAAACGCATGCCACACATGAAGTACGTAAGTATCGGCAAGGCTCCGTAACATGCCACTGGCCCACAGAAGCTCCCTCGCAAAGGAAGTGGGAGGGATGAGTCATTGATGTCAATTTCAACCTGCCAGACATCACTGAACATCTCGTCAAGCTGACTGGCACCGAGGCCTTCGGTTGACTCTCCATCCAAGACTGGAGCGCTTGGAAGACCTGCGCACGGGACCCCTCGCCCCCTCGCCGCTCTGTTCCGAATCGTGATGCTTCAGCAAGGTGATGGCACCTCTAGCCCTTGGCAATCCAGTGCACAGACAACACAGCGACAAACAGCTTGCCTGCCGATTGTTGGCCATGATCAAAGGAAAGTTTTGATCACTCATCTGTGCCGCAAAGGCGGTGGTGTCAGCCTGCAGAAAACAGCGAAGAAATCAGCCATCTGTCGAAGTGGATCTGTGAAGTAATTGCGCATGTCCACCCACTCACACACTCACTCACACTCTGCTCTTCTTCAAGCGACAAGAGGAGCAGTCGGACTATCCCTCCGGACGCAAGCGAGGACTGGTCAGCTCGGTCTGTTGCAAGCGCATGCAAGCGCTTACGATGGCTACGGAAAGGCCGGAAGGGACAAGCTGGCAATGCAAAGAGACGCCCCAAGCTTAGACTGGAAAGGCCTTGTCGTGGCTCCGTTTCGGAGTCTGTGTCTCCGCCCATCACAATCAACATCAATCAACAATAGCTCTCATCACTGTTCTTTCTCTCTTGAAAAGCCCTCCCCCTTTCTTTCTTGCTTTCTGACAATCCAAAAGGGGGTTTTGACCCCCTCCCTGCGGGAGTTTTTGTGCTGAGGCTGGACTTCTCTACCTGCTTGTCCAGGTAGGTACTCATCAACATTTTCAAAACTTGAGAGCCCATCAATACAAGTAAGCACAGAATTAGTTCTTCCGGTGCTGCTCTTGCATGTTTGCTTGCAGGGCGCTTGGAGGTCAGAGTGCGAAACCACTTCTTCCTGCGCGAAGCGCTGGTCGGCATGATACATGACATGACTCACATGGACGCTGATTCGGATGATTTCAAGCCCGCGAGTTTGCCCTGATCACACAAGAGTATACAAGCCCCCGGCCTCGGCCGACTCGTTTGAACTGGGACCCCTTCACGGGAGCGAAGCGATCCCCGGCCATTGCCGGGTTGAGTCGGTCCCCGGAACAGCGTAAACATCCAAAAAAAAAAAGAGGTTCTCTTCGCCCCGGACTCCAAATCATTTCAGGCTCAGAAGGCTGAGGTACGGAGCAGCGCGGTGCCCTTTTGCGGAAATGAAGGAAGCAAACAGCAGCATCACGAGCAAAAGCTAAATGGGCAGGCCAGAGAACATCAGCTGAGGACCCCACGCCGCTCCCATTAGTTAAACTGTTGCCCTTGCTTGGTCGGGCCTTCTCGGGATTGCAAAAAGACATAAAAGGCGACGGATCGTCTCGCGGCCACTACAGGCCGCTATGACGAGAGACGGGCTCTGGGCCTTTTCGCTGGGGTGGTCAGGGGCGGCGCAGGCTACCAACGGTCGGGTTGGTGCAAGTTCCCTCCCCAGTCCGCCGGCCCCCCAGCAGTGGCTGCGGGTTCAGGCAGGTGCCCGTGCTCCACACTGCTCAAAGGCCAGGTCAAGGCTAATTGGGGTCTGCACCCGGGCGGCTTTCCACTTCAACCAAAGCTGCAGCATCTAATTCTCTCACACTCTTTTCCACAACGTGTTGACCGAGCTCAAGCGAGGCTGGGCGGAAGCAACTTGGAGCGATTTTTGGGTTTCCGGTTTCACTACATCTTCCATGTGTCTATCGGCGGGTGCGTAAGGCAGTTTGCCCCCCATGTCTGAAAGCATCCATACTTGAAAAGGGGACAAAGGGGCATCTCGTCTGAGAAATGGCATCGACGTGTTGCTCAAGCCTCGGGAAACCAGCGGGTGGGTCCCCCAGTTCGCGAGACTGCTCTCTCTCCTTTTGTTTTTTCTTTCGCTGGGGCTATGGGCTGGGGATTGCTCCCATCGTGCATGTGGCACCCCCTACATCCCCCTACTGTTGTGGGTGCCATTGGAAAGAATCAAAAAACCCACTTTTTACGGGGAGAAGTCCGGGAAGGGGAGTGCCCCCGAGCAGTGAATGAAAGTGCCAGGCCGCGAATTCATGGACTTATGGGCAAGGTCCTCGCTGAAACGAGGCAGGGTTTCGGACAGGAATGGGATGGCTCCAGCGGCCCGTCGAAAGCAGAACTACAATCGGCATTGAGTGCCAGCTTGGCATTTTTCGGAAAGAGCCAGCGGTACCTCGTCGTACAGATGAAAATCAGGCAAAGCGGCAGGCTTGTCAAGGAAAAAGTAGGACTCAGAAACGACCCATCAACGCTAAAAGGCCCTGCACACAGCTTGCCCCATTCAGTACTGCCGCTTCGCCTTGGTCCGCCGCATGTCACCGTGCCACTCATTTGTTCGTCGTTATTGTCGGCGTAACTCGCGATACTGTGCTTTCTGGGTCTACCTACCTGTACGCTTTCCAGCCTCTTCGTCGGATCCATGGACCTCCAGGTTAATGCGCACTCCCCCTTGCTCATCCCGTTCCTGTAGTTGGTGTAATCGGTTCCTTTGCCGAGGTGTAAGCATAGATGGCTCTTCGATTCAGTTAGGTGAAGAAGAGCAGCGGGACGCGAGTCTTCCTCCGCTCCTTCAGGGACTTCCCCCTGTGGTTGAAGTGAATTTCCTCCATCAATGCTTTGTGCAGGGGACGGGCAGGCAGGTACAGGCTCTTCGAGTGGTGGTGGAGGTGTCCGTGGTGCCACAGCGTCGTCGCCAAAAGGATTGGCAACTACACCAATAGCGGTTCTGGGTCAAAAGGAAGAGCTGGATCTCGAACTTCATGGATTACAGCCCAGGCTGGCGGGCTCGACCCCGGCCGAGTGACCATCCCCCTCACTCGAGCGCTGTCCCAAGGTGCTGGCTGCACGGCTGCACAGTGACCGCGGGCGGTTGTTTGCAGTCGAACGGTGTTGTCCCTTGAGTTTCGGCTTCTTGGCATAGGCGAGCTGGCTGCCGTTTAGGTAGCTCGGACAGAGGAGCGGGTACAGCAGCATCACGTCGAGCTTCAACGGCGCCAGGGCCCGTAGAAGCGCGGCCAGGGCTTGGAGGGCGAGGGGTTGTCTTTTGACCGTAGTCAAGCGTTTCCCGGGTGTCGGGGTCTTCTCGGGTACCGAAAGTCCAGTGGTTGCGCGCCTTTTGTAGCAGCCTCGGAATCGCTTCCGGCCGTGCTTCTTTGGGGTTTCGCAGTTGAGTAGCTGAGTCAGGCTTATTGAGGAGCGTGAGTTGCACCAACATGTTCGCCGTCATTCGTCATGGACCTCTTCTTGTTGAGCTCGTTTGAGAAGGTCTCAAAGTCCTGGGCCTCCGCTTGCGACATCTGCCGCTTCTTACCCCCCCATCCCCTCGACGTACTTCCCGGAGTTCATGAGATAGCGCACATCATGTTGAGTCCAATCCTCACGTGATTTGGATGGCGTCCTCAAACGGAGGCCGCAGTTGTCCAGTGTGGGCGGTGGACGCTGGGGCAGTTCATAAACAGCGTCCCTTGTGCTGTGGGCGGGGTGCCCCCCGGCTGCGTCTTACCACCTTGGTCCGCCGGAGTAGCAGTAGATGTTGCCGGTCTCTTCGGCGTCCTAGCTGTGCTCGTCATAGTATTGGTACTGCTGCTGCTAAATGCTTGGGTCCCGTGGCAAGCCACTACAAGAAACTGGGGGCTCCCCCGCTCGGTCGCCAATACCCTTTGCTGCACTGCATCCGCATCTTCACTTGGTGTGGTGTGGGGTTTTGTGTTCCAAACAATATACAATTGTCCGAGGAGTTTCCCCTGTGTGCAAGCGCGCGCTATCTCCCTCTTTTTTTTTCTTTCTGCCGGGCTTAGGGGTCACGTCGTGACCCGCAGGCTCCTCTCTCTCTCTCTCTCTCTCTCTCTCTCTGTAGCGGGCGTGAGGGGCGTGGCAGCGTCCGGGCCACTTCCCTCGTGCGCACGCGCACACCCGCGTTTCGCGGGGCGTCCTTGCGTCCCCCCCGTTGTTTTCCCAGGTAGGGCTCGGCTTTACAGCACCAAAGACTGCGTAGGGTTCGCTCCCCTTGTTCACTGCTCAACAGCAACAATCAGCAACACACAGCGAGTCTAGCATACACAGATCCCCGACTGAAAAAACTGGCCAGCGAATCCCCCAGTGCAGTAAAACACATTCTAAAACACGTTCTAAACAACAGGCTCCACCCCACAAAAACAAGCAGTCCGGGCGCATGCTGGCCAACCAAAGGCACAGGAGGAAAAGCTTGCACTCTCCGCTTCTTCGAGCAGGATACACTGGAACTCCCCTGGATGGAATTGGACAAAATTAAAGCCTCCTGTATTCCCCAAAAGGAGTGTTGAAAAGAACCTAGGATTGGGGCTGTTGGCCCAAGTTGAATGAGGTTTATCCGAGAAGAGCCAACCGTGTGGCCCATTTGAAGAGTTCACTCCCCCCACTGGCTCGCAAACACGGAAGCTTAAATGATCGTGCATACGTTGGCGGATTGGGCAATGCAGAGGAGTACATTACGTTCCCCGAAAGTGACGCACATAAGATTAATCTCATGGCCTGCAGCATACTGCAAACATCAAAGTTTTGACTAGGTAGGTTCCCCTTAGAAGGAGCCACAGAGAACTTAGTTCTGCTCCTCGGCACACTTGCACTCCACTGCATTTCGCAACACTGTGTGCTAACACCCTCCCCCAGCGTAACGGCGCAGGCGAAAGATTTTTGGTGGCTGTCCATCCATTGCGACCTTCACGACCCCGCCGGTCTTGCCACTGTCACGGTCCCTGAGGTGTTGTTGTCCCCCACCCAGCGAGTAGGTACTTGGGGAACGCCCCGAGGTCGCGTTCAAGGGAGAAGCGTCGCGAACTTGCCCTGGTGGACTATGGCTCAAGGCACTGCGGTACTAGTGTTTCTTTATGTTACTTTGTCGGAAGACACGGCCGGAGCAGGGCTCCCGAAGGCACAGTAGGGGAGCAGAGACTTGGCCAATGGCTTCCAGGAGGAGTCTACGGAGAATAAATCACACGACTGCAGCAATAGTAGCACAGCAGCTCTCGCTGCTTCGTTTTCCTCTTCTGCAGTGTCGCACCGTCCAGGTGCTTTGCAAGGGTAGTGCATCCCCTCGTCTGACGTACCGTGGCTCCGTCCGTCGAAAAGGTACGCCTGTACCCCTACCCCGCCTGACGACTGAACCATTCCCCAAACCGGCATACGCTCAAATGCCATCACACCAAGCAAACACCACAGTTCACTCGTTCTATGCAGTGTCACAGTGTAGTGTTTTTGTACATCGATGTAAAAAACATTACACTGTACAGCAGTAGAGCATTTCTCCGCCTGTCTTCGTCTTCTTGTGTGGCCAGCTCTCTCTCTCTCTCTCTCTCTCTCTCTCTCTCTCTCTCTCACTCACTCTCTCTCACTCACTCTCTCTCACTCTCACTCTCACTCTCACCCTCACCCTCACTCTCACTCTCTCACTCTCTCACTCTCTCACTCTCTCACTCTCTCACTCTCTCACTCTCTCACTCTCTCAGTCTCTCAGTCTCTCACTCTCTCACTCTCTCACTCTCTCACTCTCTCACTCTCTCACTCTCTCACTCTCTCACTCTCTCACTCTCTCACTCTCACAGTCTCAGTCTCAGTCTCAGTCTCAGTCTCACTCTCTCTCTCTCTCTCGCTCTCTCTCTTTCATTCACTTGCTCGCTCACTGATACAGTGCGGGCCCACCTCGATTTGATTGACATACTGAAGGGTCCCTGCATCTAGCTTGGATCCAGCAGCCTTCAATGCACATTGTCACCAGGCGAACAATCGTCTTGGATTCCGGAGCTCCAAACTTTTGCCACCGCCCACCTTCTTCAGATTTCTGATGGCAAACTGCCATGTGTTCACGGCTTTCGCCATGTCCGGACATGCATCAGACAGGCCAGCCTCGGAGACATCAGCTATGGTTTATGAAACATTCTGAAATGTGTCTGGCAGAAATGCGTCTGAGCTGCATCGCAGCGCTTCAACAAGTCTGCCGCCTTCAACGCCTGTAACATCAATGTGCAAGCCGAAGTTCCAGCAGGAACAGTGTTGCAGAACCCAACCTGGAAAGCTTCAGGAAGCGAGGGCGGAGCACATGCCTTTGTGCCTGCCGAGTGTTCCCGGCATATCCGGCATGTAGTTCTCCACAGCATCTTACTCACGGGTACTGCAGGATGTCTGTCACAACATCTCAACCCAAGCAACTGCATCGAACCGAGAGCCAAAGGCTAACTTCTGCATTCTGAATTTCACTAGACGCGAAGTTGCCGAGGCTGTGCCTGAGGACCAACCTTCGAGGACTTCGCGACCACCATCCGATTTGCGAAAGAAGCACTTCTGTGCACCTTCGAGCTGCACCACGAAATGTGAAGATGTCTGATGGTCAAGCATCTACCCGACATGCGCCATGGGGACGCGTTTGGGGGTCCGGCCGTCCTGTTCACCAAACCTAGGCCGGCTCTCGGAAAGAATGATCATGATTGTGCTGACACTGAAACATGTGGAAAAGAGCGTCTCGGTCTTACGCGCGATCTCGTTTTGCATTCCAACATCAAGTCATTCCTTCATAGATGCGTGGAAATCGAACGTAACTCCTCAGCATGTCTTGACAGATTTATCCTGTCTGCATCAAGCATCATGGGCCCGTCTTGCTTGAAGGCTCGGATTCTGTATCCTGCAGAATCTGGCACATGTTCCGCCACTTTTTGGGGATCGAAAGTTCCATCAAGGTATGTCACGACCTTCAAGAGCTTTGTCTCAATTAGAGCTTTGGGCCCGGCCCAATTCGCAGAATTCCTTCACGTTAAGATGGCTTCTTCGCGGCAATAAACTCCAGTTTTGCGAGACGTTTGCCCTGTCTTTCGCACGCACGTTTGTTTTTCGGCGTAGTAGCAAGAGTAGTTGTGGTAGTAGCCGTCGTCGAAGAAGCAATGCCCGTGACAGTCGCACTGGCAGAGGCAGTAGCACGAGCAGTCTAATAGTTATTACTGTTACTATTCTTAATAGTAGTAGCAGTCGTAGAAGCAGAAGTCAAAGTAGTAGTCGTCGTCGTAGTAGCAGTAGCAGTAGAGCAGTAGAGCTGTAGTAGCAGTAGCATTATTCCTGAACAGTCGAAGTCAGAGTAGGAGTAGCACAAGCAGGAGCAGCAACAGTAGCAGCAGCAGCAGTGGTCGCAGTAGTGGTAGCGGTGGCGGTGTCGGTAGTAGTAGCAGTAGCAGCAGGGAGGCAGCAGCAGCAGCAGCAGCAGCAGCAGTAGCAGCACTCGTAGCAGTGGCAGTAGCAGCAGCAGCAGTCGTCGTAGTCGTCGTAGTCGTCGTAGTAGTAGTAGTAGTAGTAAGTAGTAGTAGTAGTAGTAGTAGTAGTAGTAGTAGTAGTAGTAGTAGTAGTAGTAGTAGTAGTAGTAGTAGTAGTAGTAGTAGTAGTAGTAGTAGTAATAGTAGTAGTAGTAAGTTAGTAGTAGTAGTAGTAGTAGTAGTAGTAGTAGTAGTAGTAGTAGTAGTAGTAGTAGTAGTAGTAGTAGTAGTAGTAGTAGTAGTAGTAGTACTAGTGCTAGTGCTAGTGCTAGCACTTTCACTAGCACTAGTATACTAGTACCAGTACTACTACTACTAGTACTACTACTACTAGTACTACTACTACTACTACTACTACTACTACTACTACTACTACTACTACTACTACTACTACGACGACTAAATAAACCACCTTGATTTTCGTCGCGAATGGAAGGAAGGAGGAAAGTGGCATTGAAGCAGTCCGCCCGACTTCAGCAGCGATTATCGCAGATCTTTCGTGCAAAACCTTGTAGGGTTTTGCTAAAACTGACACACTTTGACACTGAGGGGAGGTATACAACTGCGATTGCATCTGGGCCTGCAAGGCTGCAGCCAAATGGCATATTCTATGCAGGCACTGTATCCCTGTACGACTCCTGCGCCTTGTGCCATGTAAAAACTGTCTCGGATTGTTTCTTTCCTTTCGCAGACCCTTTGCAAACAGCTTAAACCCATTTCATACACAACCAAAGACGCCGAATTTTAGATCAATCCTATTCAACCCTAGCATCCGCATCTGCTGTCTCCTAAAGCTGCAAGACTTGGACGAGGGCCCAAGCATCATATCATAGCACCATGGGATACACACTACGAGAACGTCATGGCACTTGTTTGCACGTTGTGCGCGGCGAGGGTGTTTTGTTCCCCAAACGTTGGACGAAGCTTTGAGAGCCCGAGCCCCCTGACTGGCTTCGACCGTCGTAAACCCAGGGATTGACATCGCTTATCTCTGTTCTGGCTCCCTGCAACTCATGGAGATTTTGAAGCTGCCATTGTGCCGCATGCTTTGTGAACTGCTTGTTCTCCTGCTCCAAATGCTGTCTATTGTCACTCGTTCTCATGTCTTGTCTTTCCCACGAATGGTGGAATGCGGAGCGTGCCGGGAATCCAGCTTGTTATCGAGGCTGCATGTGCCGTAAGTTGCAGCTTTTCTTGTTTCGTCTCTAGCATCGTGCTGCAACATGTTGTGTTCCCAAGCTCCACGTGCGGTGTGATTTCAGCATTTCTGCAGTCTGTGAATTCCTCTGTGCTGTCAGGCTCCAAAAAACTTCGCTGTCAGGCTGCACATGCTGGAACTTTCTGGAACTTGGAGCATGTTGCAGCATGTCTACGGCTGGAGGATTGTAGAGCAGCAGCGCTTTTTCGCTCACCGCAGTGCACGGGCTTGACGCCACGTAGCTGCGGCTGAAAACTCTGCAACATGTGGAGGTTCTCGTCGCTCTCAGGCTTCGCATGCATGAAGTGGCTTGTTTCGTTTCTGTTTCGAGAGGACTGCAGGACCATAAGACCACAGAAACCACAGGACCGGGGTCAAGGGGGCCAACCTCACCACTGTTGCCAAAAAGCAGGATCCCGTTCTACACATGCGCGGCAAAACTCGAAGTGCGGCTGGGCAACGTCCAATGTGTGCAGTCGCCCAGCTCGGAACAGGTGCGTGCGCAAAGGACCGGAGAGTCTGCGATAAACTTGTCGGAGTTCTTGCAGTCGTTCTGCCAACAGCCTCGCAACTGCGCTGTAAGCTCAAGTGACAGCCGAATACTGATCCTGCCCACCTGCTGCTCCAAACACGCTAACATCGGCAAAGATTGCCTGGACATCATGCTCTGTCTGGAAGTAAATGAGCACTGCCGATGCATGCCACATCATCGTCACAGCGGGCCACTAGTCAACATTTGCATTCAGGTTCCAGCTCAGCGAATCACGATGCAAGCAAGTTTGTTTGCAATTGGTATTTTCATCTTGTAGGTGCCGATGTTTGTCTCGAAGGGCGAAGACTACCGCATAGAAAGCGCCGATGATGCTGCTGCCGCCAGTATTCACATCAGCAAATAAGCCATGCCATGCATTAGAGTTCTGCAAACATCAATGGACGACAGCTTGAGCTCAGAACTCTATCGTATTTTGGACTCTCCACAACAATTAGATGGGCTAAAGCGGCCTGCAATCTAAGTGCTTTAAGGTCCAGCTCTGTTGGACGCTTCCCCATTTCTCGGCTTCGGGTCGTTCTTTCACCATGTTGGTGTGACAGTGTTGGGGAGACGCTGTCGCTCTTCTGACATCAATAATGACCAAGAAAGCTAGCCTTTGGAAGTGTATGCTTGGCGTTGAAGCTTACTGCTGGTCTGTGCCAGCTGCATCACGTCTGCAATTTGCGAAGCTTGATGTTGCCGCGATTTGCTGTTACAAGCAGCAGAAAGAAGCCGGGCTGTCGCAAATCTTCTTGGTCTTGTCTTGGCTCTCAACAGATTGATAACAGAAGCTCTCAATCCAACAGCTACTTCTGAGCAGATGAAACAAATCAGACCTTTCAGGGCATGCATTTGCCCCTTCAAGGTTCCCACCCTGAGGTGTGAAGCTCGGTCCTGCCATGTGACACCATTGATCTAAACCGCGGTCGAGTCACGTGCGCGCCGGCATGTCGCAAAACCACGCTCGGCTGCGTACAACCCGGATAACCGACTGCAGCTGCAGAACTACCCGCACAGGCGCAGGAAAGGCCTTGCTTGGCATGCGCAGCCACAACCGCAAGGACAGCCAGCTTGTGTTTGGATGTGGCCTCGCCTTCTACGTTAAAGCTGTGATGCCCCCCTCCCCAAGCACCAAGACTGAGCATCAGGCGACATATGCTCACCTCAAAGCACGGCAAAGTCTTCCAAAGACGAGGTCTCGTGTTCTGGACGACGTTTAAAGTGAAATCTAAACAGGATAGAAGAAGACAGCATGCAAAGACCGTGCCGCCAGAGCGCAGACCAGTCCTGTGGAGCTCCATTATCACCGGTGTCAGCGCTCTGCGTGGGCTTCGCCGTGTGATAACGGTCAGCACTGGGAACCTGAAACGCTTGTTAAAAGCATCTTGGAGGCTGCAGTGTGGCAATGGATCAGATTTCTGAGGCAAGCAGCATAACATTCGATTCTCCCCCATGGAAACCTTTCCGGTCAAAACCAACTCACGGAAACAGGACCTCATACAGCACGCACGCACGCACAAAGGCCATTCACGACAAGCATCTGCTTTGTTCGTGGGGCACGCCCCAAAAGAGAGGGCACCATCGGCGTAGCATCTGCTGCTACGAAATGGTCATAAGCTAGCCCCTGGCAAGGCTGCAAGTGAGGCTACTATCAAAACTGGAACGTATCTAAAGTTTGGGCAGAGGAAAGCCTGCCTGTGCAGCGCAAGTCTGGCCGCATGTTGCACCTTCAGCTCCTAGATACCAGCAGCGCCCGTGATTCTCCACACCGCCCTGGTCACCGAATCGAGCCGAAGACAACATCATCAGACCACAGCTAGGATTGCAAGGCGTCCAAAAAAAACCTCGCACTGACCGAAAGATGTGCTATAGCATGCAAGTCGCATTGGGGCACGCAGCCCAAGCGACTGAGGCAGATAAAAGCAGAACGCCTGATCTTGATGCCATGGACGGCTGCAAGCCTGCTTGGCTCGAGCTGCTGTACCAAACATTCATGTTCCGTCTCACAAGTACACACGCACACACACACACACACACACACACAATAAAACACACGAGGGTTCACTCGGTCGTTACCACATAGCAAAACTTCCACTGACTCCCGTGGAACTGGTTGTGGATGAGTACATGGCTCTGCGCAAACACTCTGCACCACCTGCAAGGCATCAACGCATGTCCCTGACACTGCGTCAAGCTGAACGGGTGATCTCAGGCATGCTGTCAAGTAGACCTCACACATCACCTGCGCATGCCCTATCATGCCCTCATGTCAGTGCTGCAACGCAGGATTGCTAATTACCTCACTACAATGCTAACGATAGGGAGTCATCACTGCACAATGGACAGAGACAACCGGTGTTGCAAACACGATTGTTGACTTGGTGACTTGATAAGTAGCATAGATTTGATGTCCTGAATCGCTACATGGCCTGAAATTTGCGCTGCCCTATCCTGCGATTGCGGCTTAGTTGAGTACCCATCCATCCTTGCCAAGTTCCGAATCCGATCTCGAAACAACCGCCTCTCTCTTGGGGGCTGTCTTTCTCCCACAGTGTCAGCTGCAGGAGGAGGTGACACAGTAAGACGGCAACGTCATTTCAGCTGAAAGCCGTGGTAAACAAACGGGTCCCAACGCCCGCCCCCACACCCCCAGAGACACTGTCAGTTTCTTTGGTCAGCAAACTCGGGTCACCGCACTCGGTGATGACCCGTGCCACCCAATGTATATGTAAGTATGATGACAACATTGACGAAGTCGAAAACCGAATATGGCCTATGCGAAATTAAGTCACAAGTTAATGACCGTTGCATGGTGGACGGTTTCCATTATTCACCATCGGCTAGCATGAAAGCCTTCAAACCAAGCCAAGCGCGTCTTGGATCACTTGTGTCTTTTATGCACAGCAAAGAATAACACCTCCGATTCGCAGTGTTATTCGACAGCCAGTATGTGTATCATGATGTGCCCCGTACAGGGTCAGGTTGACGATGTCGCAAACACTACTTGCAACGAGTAGCTTCGTCACGGTGCTGGATTGAGGTGCATGCCTGCTATGTATTAGTACGAGCGGTCTGCTTTCTCGCATCGGGATCACCGCACGCATGGTTTTCCGCCTCGACGCAAACCCACGAACACACATAAGGGCTCGGCGGCACAACTAAGATATCAGCAAAAGGTAAGTAAGATACCAATGTTTGGGGGGTTGGTGGAAAACACAAACGAAAAAAAATCAAAAAAAAAAAAACATGAAGGTAGGCCCCACAGCCTTCAAATATCAAAAACATATGGGGTTTCCGAAAACAGAGGACCATGATGTAGAAAATAAGAATACTATATTATATTAGGATACTATATTTAGGGTTCTACATCATGGTCCTCTGTTTTCGGAAACCCCATATGTTTTTGTACCCTACCATGCCGTATCATATCATGTCAGTACCATAGCACATCATGCATGCCAGTACATCATACGCTACCATATCACCATCAACATGATCATCATGGAGCAGTATGTTTATCTATATTGTCGTCACCATCATCACAACATCATCACCACCAGCATCATTACATCATCGCATCCTTATCATACCATCAAGATCATCACCATCATCATTATCCTCACCAGCAGCAGCAACATTCAGCAATCGTCTTACTCATGCAGTATCAACATCATCTCGACACTTAGGGTTGTAGGGCTCGAAAATTAGGTTTAGGGTTTAGGCTTAGGGTTCTGAAGCCAAGCCCACTGAAATCCCAAGTCCAGAAGCCCATGCCCGCCTGGATGTCGAAGCTAACCCTAAACCCTACTATTTAAAGCCCCTAAGAACCCTACTATAGAACAACACCTTAAGAACCCTACTATTGTACTTCTCGGTGTCCAGAAAACCCTAAGATCCCCAAGCATCTTCGATGAAAACCCAGCAGCACTAACAACCCTACAAACCCCAAAACCCTAAAACCCAACACAGCCTTTAAGGCTTTTTGGGGTGTGGGATATAGTTCAAGTTTGGGGTGTCTAGCTTTTCGGGTTGAGATGTAGTTCTATTTCGGCTTCCGGGGAGGTGGTAATGTGATGTTCTGGAAGTAAGGAGGGTTTAGGGTTTAGGGTTTTGAGTCTTTCGGACTGGAATTCGGACTGGGATAATTGCGCTTGTAGTTGGCTTGGCACTTCGGGTTTGAACGGTGATTACTTTCGGGACTATGATAATCTATCTGGTGCCATGCATGATGATGTTCTGAGAATAATTAGTAGTAGTTTAATAACAATTTGTTATTAAACTACTAATTATTCTCAGAACATCATCATGCATGGCACCAGAACATACACCGGGGCGAAAGCCCCTGAGTTTGGAGGGCTGCCGGGAGCGTCATTCGGACTTCAGACGAGTGTCTTCAGGGCGGTCTTAAGGTTGAGCCTCCTCTTCAGATTTCGGGCTTCACATTGAGGTTTCCGGTGTCGTTCGGAAAATAACGATAGAGTTGGACTTTAGTACTTTAGGTCTCAGGTTTATGGTCGGTCTGTCACTTTGAGATATTTGAGGTCACAGGGTATTGAACAAGATTCTGCAGTCTTCAGTCTTGCTGTGCCCTACACCCTAAACCCTAAAACCCTACTACAATTTAAAAGGTTCTCAGAGTCTTCTCAGACTTTCAGACCCCAAATGTAAGCCCAAATTACGAGATAATGCCACACTTCCCAGACCTGTAATATGAGGTTATGGTACACTTCTCAGACCCTAAGATGCATTCATCACACACTTTCCACACCCAAATTATGAGGTAGTGATACACTTCTCAGACCCGAATTATGAGGTACTGATGCACTTCCCAGACCCTAATTATCACTTCTCAGACCCGAAATACCAGTTAATGATGTACTTCCCAGACCCGACTTACAAGGTGATGATACACTTCTCAGTCCCTATTTGTCAGTGAAGATGCACATATCAGACATTTCCCAAACCCGAGTTATCAGATAATAAAATATACCTCCCTTAGCACGCGCTCTCAGACCGGATGTTCAGGTAAGATACAGTTCCCAGACCCGAACTATCAAACACTTCCGAAACCGGAAGTCTCAGCTAACTACCCCGACACAGTTCTCAGACCCGACATACCAGCAAAAATACACTTTATTCTCAAACCTTAACCCATAATTATAGGACTTCTGAGGCTCAACCCAAGCCCCCTTCCGAGGCAGCAGCTGGCTCTGGACAAAGGTAGCCCCCGAACCCGAACCAAGAAGCTTCCAGGTGGCAGCGCTCCGATGCAACTTGAACTAAGTTACCCATTAAGCCCTAATACCCCGAACCCTAATTAAGGACCTAATTAGGACCTTAAGATCACAAGTCTTGGTATGGCCACAGGACCAAAGGCCCCTTAAACCCAACCTAATTAACTCCAAACCTGATGCCCTACTGTAGGCGCTGAGCTGCCGAACAGCTCAAAACCCTAGTCACCCCTTTAAGGAGGTTTATATAGGGCTTAGGGCTCAGGGCAGTCCTCAGTCTTGCTGTAAGACTGCTAGACTGTAGGACTGCACAGACACCCCCGGGCCATAGCCCGCCCTTCGTCCACAGCGGCTGCCGCTCTGCTGCTGTGCTAGAGCACCGGGAACTCACAGGCCCGGCCTCGGTCACATTGTTCGGTTCAGGGTTTAGGGGTTCCAATAGAATTGCAATAAGGTGTATCGTAAATGTCTTGCAAAGCTTGTGGTGTCTCGAAAACCATGGTTTGCGATACGGGTAGAATAGGCTGCTGCTACTACTACTACTTCTACTTCTGCTACTACTACTACTACTACTACTACTACTGACACTACTACTACTACTACTACTACTACTACTACTACTACTACTACTACTACTACTACTACTACTACTACTACTACTACTTCGGCTACTGCTACTGCTGCTGCTACTCCTTGCTGCTACTGCTACTCCTTACTGCTACTGCTACTGCTACTGCTACTACTCCTAGTACTCTTACTACTACTCTTACTTCTACTCTTACTACTAGTACTACTAGTACTACTAGTACTACTAGTACTACTAGTACTACTAGTACTACTAGTACTACTAGTACTACTAGTACTACTACTACTAGTACTACTAGTACTACTACTACTACTACTACTACTACCGCTACTACTACTACTACTACTACTACTACTACTACTACTACTACTACTACTACTACTACTACTACTACTACTACTGCTGATACTGCTACTGCTACTGCTACTGCTACTGCTACTGCTACTGCCACTGCTGCTGCTACAACAATTCCACCAACAGCATGTAGTACCACTTGCCACTCACTACTGTACTTGCAATCTCCTGCCACTGCTGCTGTTTGCTGACTGCTACATGACAACCTCCAGTAGCTGCAGACTCGGGCTCCAGAACATCAAGGAGACTCGTTTTCATTGTGTGCAATGGCAGACTCCATTGCCAATTTGACTGTCGACTACAAAATCAAGACAGTGATTGGTGTGTCCGAGAAGGGTCCGTTCTTTGTGTAACTTGGCTGGTCCTTGGAGTGATGCATGCAAAGGTTAACTTACAGCAGTCTTGATTCCTGACTATACTTAGGACGGTCCATGGCAACGGTCCCAACGGTCCTGTGCAAGCACGCACGGAAACTGTCAATGGGCCTACACCGGTGGGGTTCTGAAATACGTTGTGATTGCTGTCAAGTGAGCTGAGTGTCACTGTAGTTTGGTTGCATGCAGTCCATACCCACAGAGTTTGAGGCATGGAATTGCGCCGGATATCTCAACCTCCGTGATCATCAGATGTTGCTGTTCATTCTGCACAAGCAGAACATGACTGGGGAAAGCGGGATTGCCAGTGGCACCATAGTCATGGCCCTACAATCTTTCAGATGCACACATTGCATGACATGAAAGTCCGAACATGGAGCTACACATGCTTTGTTCAGGCGACCACACTGTTGACCAGGGATGCCTCCGAGCTACAACTGGAGATGAGTGCTCACTCATTCAAGGCCAAACTCCAGGTCGAGATGAAGACACGTGGAGAACCCTCGCAACTCCGCAGGTCGAATGCTGCAGGCAGCAGTGGGTATGGGTATGAGCCAGCTACCCCGACAGCTCCCGATGAGGTTTCAGTCCTCAGTCCTGCTGTCCCAGAGCAGGCATTGCACGAGGGGTTTGCAGCAGAGAGAGGGGAGTCCTCAGTCCCCGGTCCTGCTGTGGAGAATGATGCGCTGATCGACTGGGAGTTGTTGCAGTACCATTTGAGGACTGTGTTTATGTGTACTCTTGAGTTTGACGACATGTAGTTGTGGTGCACCGGTCCTTGTCTCGCTTTTGGATGAGGACACACTTGGACATTCCGGGGGTGTTCCGTTCAGAGCCCACAATGCAGTTTTCCTGGCTGGGCCGAGCCGTTCCACGTCATGCGACTTACAGTGTGGAGGTTGGTTCCACTGTGACAGAATCTGCTCTCAGATGATTCTTGCTGGCACGAAAACATTGCACAGCAAATGCATTTGTTGATTGTTGTAGCCATTGCTGATTACTTGAAAACAAAGGCCGTGGTGGGTTGGACATTGCAGCGACAGTCCTGCAGTCCTACAGTCCCTCCTCACTGCCCAAGAACATGAAAGCAGAGAGTTACTTGGCAGTTAGGGTGTGTGCATGGAATGTCAATAGCATGTCCGATGTGACAAGAGTTTCTCTGAGGCATGCTGGAGTTCATTCGGGAACCAGTCCAGATGGACAAAATGGCAGCCTGGTTGGAGGAAGCTTTGCTGCATCGGTCATGTTGGCATTTCAATGATGTTACACACCATCAGTGCTGGATAATCCTGAGGCAGTCGGCAGGAATGAGGTCCCCTGCACCCCGGCCTTGCTGTACCACTACTGCCAGAAGGGCTTCGAGGGCTTCTCCCAGTGCCAGCAGGAGTACTTCTACCCTACGGGGTTGAGCTACAACTTGACCAAACACGCTGCTTAACTGAATCAAGTGACAAGCACTTGTCACAATGATTGTTTCAGTTTTCACATGTACCCTCAGGTTTCCGAAATCGTCATGCTGATGTGCGATGCTCTCATCTTGGCCCGCTGTTTCCCTACGTCTGTCGAAGACAGTCTGGCACCACCGTCGAGAAGAGATACATGACTGCAAGACTGTAGGACTGAGGGCTTCATGCAACAATGTTCAAGTGGACTCTGCTTCAGGAGACAGTCTCGCAGTTCTTGGACCAGTACTTTGGTTATGGCTGGGCGCGCTGGAGATGTCCGTTTGACTACGTTCCTGACTACACTCGTGGTGAATACAGCACATCGGAGTTCGCAGTCCTGACTGCCCAGGTGGATGACTTCCGCGACTCGTCATCAACAACATCTACTCCCTGCTACTACCACTAAAGCTACTGCTACTTCCCTACTATTACTACTACTGCTACTACTACTACTACTACTACTACTACTACTACTACTACTACTACTACTACTATATTACAACTACTTCTACTACTACTACTACAACTACTGCTGCTGATACTACATACTAGTACAACAACTACTACTTCATACCTACTACTACTACTACTACTACTACTACTACTACTACTACTACTACTACTACTACTACTACTACTACTACAACAACAACTACACTACTACTACTACTACTACTACTATTACTCCGGCCCGTACTACTATTGCTAGCTGAGACAACACTACTACGACCACTTGTACTAGCTACTAGTACTGGTAGCAGTACTAGTACTCACACTCCAACTGGTACTACTATCTACTACTACTACTACTACTACTACGACTACTAGGACTACTACTACTACTACTACTACTACTACTGCCACTACAACTACTACTGCTACTACTTGTACTACTACGGCTACTACTATGACTACTAGGACAGAACACTCATGTCTTCCATCACAATAACCCAAAACCCCTAAAACCCAAAACCAGCTCTAGCCTTAAAGGGATCCTTAACTCGTGGCTTTAGGGTTCAATATGCTTTAAGGGTTCAGGGTTTAGGGGGTGGTGGTTTTGATTGTGGTGGTAATAGTAGTACTACATCTGATCTTCTAGTAACCATGACTGAATCTCAGGAGTGGACGACTTCTTCGATGTTGATGATCTTTGGTCATGGTGGCTTCCGATTAATGGAACCTTCATCTGGGCAATGTCTTTCGGCTGTGGTTTGGGGTTTAGGGCTATGAGTACGGATTTCGGGTTTAAGCTACCCTAAACCCTAAGCTACCCTAAACCCCTAAACCCTAAACCTACACTAAGGTACACCCCTCCGGATACCGACAATGGCATTCGCACAGTCAGCTTTTGGAAGATCGTCCGGTGCCGTGGAAGCTTTAGGATGCAATGACATTGAAGTTGAATGATGACTAGTTACCTAGTTAACCTGACATTGCAATCGAGGAGCCAGCAGAACGGCCGCTACGTTCATATCGGGGACAACTATGTCTGGCAGCCCGCGGACAATGTTGCTTGAGAATGAATGGTCGGTTTGTTATTGTTAGACAGTTCCCTCAAACCCTAATAAACCCTGATTTCTAAACCCCCAATAAAGCCTGATTCTGGAAGCCACTAAGTCGCAGTTCAACCCAGAGTATGCCGAGCGCGAAGTCCTGAAGCCGAATTGGTGCATACAGTCCATTCCTGGAATCCAGAAATCCTACATGCAAATTGGGAAATGGACTTGCAACCGCATCGGTGTTGCCACCCCAGAGTTTCGAAAGCGCAAGATCTTCATTCTCGAGATGCACCTCGCTTCTAACTAATTCCGAAGTCACATAATTAATTTAAGTGATTCTTTTGTTACAACCCAGACCCACCTTGCTCAGGACCCACGAACCAGGCCGGCACTCCCAGCGCAGGCCATCTTTGACTTTGATCAAAGCACCTTGGCTTGACAAATTTTAAATGATGTTTGGAGTTGAAGCTCTGTGAGTGCGATCTAAGTTGGACAACACGACGATCCCTGAGGAGCTGTTGAGATTTGTCAAGTACGCACAGTACTAGACAGTCCTCAGTCTTCAGTCCCCATTTGCAAGCAGAATGCTGGAATTAGATTCTGTACGTCAATATTCACAGACAGTCCTGCAGTCTTGCAGTAGTAACTGGTGCACTGTGCAATGGGGAAGGACGACTGAGTGATATGCACATCGGATAAGTGAGTTTGCGACCCTATGGCTCGCAACACCATGAGCTATGAGGTTAGCAAAGACCCCTGGCTACACAAGGTCGAATGTGATGGTATTTTAAAGTGATGTCTTTAATATGGCAACAATAAATTATTGTCACATCTTGATACATAGTAATGAAGGTGAAGGAACATTCGATGCAATTCAACCTGCCTCCCATTTTGGCCGATGCCCTGCAAAGGAGCTGCACAAAAAGAGCCTGCTTAGTAATAGGGCTTCGGGGTTTACAGGGGTTTTGGCAGGGTTTATTTCATTACTGGATTTAAATTAGGATAGGGTAGTAAGCTCCGAGCCCCAAGCCATTCCAAACCCGAAGGGCCCCAAACCCCAATAATTACAATCCCTACAGACCCTAAATTCCCTACCCCCCCAACCCCCACCCCCCCAGTACCACCCCCAGCCCTAAACTATGTGAAGGCCCAAAGTCCCAAAGGCAGTATGATACCCGAAGCCCTAACACTCCAGGTCCCACAGGTCCTAACACACTAACCCTGAAGCTCTGTAAACCAACCACATCCAAGCAACCTCTGTCAACACCTAACCCCAAACAGTCCAAACACCAAAATCCTGAAAGCCCTAAAGCCCTTAAAACCCGAAACCCTAAATGCCCTAAAGCCCTTGACACCAAAATCAATCAAAACTGTAAACCCTAATGCCCTAAAGCCCTTGACACCCAAATCTCCAACCATTATTAATCTAAAGCCCTAAATAGCCCTGCATGCAGGGCACCTGCCACCACCACAATGCGCCGGGCCAGGTCCGTGCAGTCCTTAGGGGTTAAGATTAAGGTTGTTAGCATTTAATTAGGAGCTTTCGGTTGGCTGGGGTTCTTCAGATTAGTAGAGTTTTGGGTGCTTTTGATGGGTATAGTTTAATGTGATTTTGGTTTAGGGTTTCGTGTTGTTTACTGAGGCTTAATTATTAGGCTTTAGGCACAAGCTTATTGGTGCATTGGGGTTCTTAGGTTGAGGTCTGGATGGCTTTTGATTTAGGGGTTTTGTTTTGGAGGTTCTAATTTGGACTGACTCTAAAACCCTGAATAAATTTCATGAAGTGATTCTAAGCCCCAGTCTGAGTCTTCACCACCCAGGGCTCCCTTCCCTAAAACCCCTTAAGGCCCTTTGACAGTGAGCTTCATTTCTTTGCCAAGATAGATCCTTAAAACCCCTTCTTTGAGGCAAATTATTAGGGAGACATTAAACCCTAAAACCCTTTTTAAGCATAATTCTTAGTGCATTTGAAGATTTCGGAGTATTCTGACCAAGATGTAGAGCTTGTGGGTTCTGGAGCATTGGGCTGTTACTTTTAGTATACCTTTGGATTGATGGACACTGAGTGGTCCTAACTTACTAATTGACAGAGTCATTGGGTGGCGATCACACCGAACCTAAAGTAAGCCCATTTCCCAGTCCCCAGTCCTGCAGTCTTAAGATCTTATAAGCTTCATAGGGGTTTAAACTTAGGGTTTTTTTTTCATCGATTGGCACCGAGTCGAGTGGTGCTGCAGGAAGCGAATAGCACTGTGTGCGTCACTAACCGTGGGCTTCCCTACACTGAATACTTCTGCGCCCATATGCGGCCCGAAGTTCCCGAAGAGCCGATGGTTCACGAGCCCGAGCCTCCTATCAGTGTAGACGAAGACGAGTCTGAGGAGACGGATCCCCAACAATGCAAGAGCTGGACCTCCAGTCCAAGCTCGATGGGATCTTCACTGACATACCCGCAGCAGAGCTTCATCAAGAGAGCTGCGACCACTACGCTGCAACTTATTCTGCAGCCTTGACGACTTCGAGCCCATCGAGCCATTTGTGTTGTGTGGTTGGTAACTAAAACCAAACATTTATAAACACAACATCTCATCATTGTCATTCACAACACAAGCTAAGCTTGTTCCCATTCTGTATGGTGGATGAAAACACTTAATAATAAGCAAACACTCCTAGTCCTTCAAATCTTCAATGCACAAAACACAAGAATAACTGTAACCATTCTTTGTGCAGAACCCTGCAGAATCCTGCAACCTCAAAACAACAGCAATCCAACTTTAAATTAAAACTGACAAACAACCACCTCCCCTCAACAAACCCTGATAAACACACCAGATCGATACTCCCTAAACCCTAAGCTTTACATGGTAGGATTGGAGTAGGCTTCGGGTGACTAGGGTTTACTGAGCACTTAGTAGTCAGTGTGTTTTTTTTTGGGGTTTCATTGTTCTAGCATCTCGGGGATCTTATGGTGCTTAGGGTAAATAGGGTCTTCCTTGTGCTTAAAGCACAATGGACTTCCGATAGATGCTCTAAAACCCTAAGCACCCTAAACCTAAAGAGCTCGACATCCCTAAGGCCCCCACCCTGAACCCCCCCACCCTGAACCCGGTACAGGCCGGAGTTCCCAAAATCGCCCGCCGGCCGCGCTGCTGCCACCAAAACCTTCGAGGCATGTGGGGGCAAAGGGCCAAGTGGGTTGTAAGATATAGGGTTTAGGGCTTAGGGTTTTTTAGGGGTTTAGGGTTGAGGGCTTTTTAGGGGCTTAGGGTTTAGGGTTTTTTTTTAGGGTTTAGGGTATTTAAGGTTTAGGGTTTTAGGGGTTTAGGATTCAGGGTTTTTTAGGGGTTCAAGGTTTAGGCTATTTAGGGTTTAGGGTGTAGGGTTTAGGGTTTAGGGGTTTAGGGTTTAGGGGCTTAGGGTTTAGGGCTCAGGTAGCATTGCACAGCTGCAGGATGTATTGTTTGTTGGTGTGTTCTACTTTTAAGTTAATAACTTCTCACAAAATTAGAGAAAGTTTGCCCTGGTGTGGTAATGATCTAAGGGGTGTATTCACTGTTACTGTTGTTTGGTTAGACAGTAATGCAGGGATGTAGGTTTAATAGGCTTCAGGGATGTTGGGTTAATAGGTTGGAGGGATGTCGGTCCTCACGATTTAGATTTGAAGGTCAAATGTACTGCATTAGGTTTACAGTACTGGATCAAACGATTTAGTCTTCAATTATTAATAATTAATAATTGCTTTTGTATGCTCCTACTGCCTTAACTTAATCACCCTATTTCTCACAGCAGAAACCATAATGAAACCTGAAAATCTTGCTTTTACTTGTGGGTTAAGGCTGAACCCCCTACTAACTGAATTTTCAGACACCCAGTAAGCCCTTAATCCTTGTTTAATACCACCCCGGAGGCAGCGCCTGCTGAACCGCGGCAAGAAGTGGCCTGCAGGTGTGAGCAAGGGATTTCGGGTTTAGTTTAAGGTTCAGGGTTATACAGGGCTGAGGGTGTGGGTGCCAGTTGGGGCTCACATGAGTTGGTCTTTACTGGTTCTTAGGATGTAGGGTTTAGGCTTTTAGGTATGGGCAGGTAGGACCGGTGCTTGGTGTGGGTTTTTAAGTGAACATATTGCTGCCAGTATCTAAAATCCGGAGTCAACATCTAGACCGTTTATACTGAGTGGGTTTGTTCGGGAGGGTGGGTATAATTTAGTGTTCAGGGTTTCAGCCAATGTAAGGGTTTCAGCACTCATACTCGGAAAAGCCTGGGTGATGTTCCTAGGGTTTAATTAGGGCTTGAGGTTTCTGCTTTTTATGGTAGTGGGGGACTAGGTTTTCGGGATCTGTCTGGGTCTGGAATTGTAATCATCATTATGAACTGATCTAATGAGCATTTTTGCAGTTCCACGGCATTGGCGGCTTCAGAATATCTGCTGACTCTGATGCATTAACCTTGGCCAGGTGGCCGGTGCGAAGACTGCAGTGCTGCATCAACAAATGGAGGTGCAGCACCGAGGGACTGCAAGACTGAAGACTGGGGACTGTACATGTTCATTTCTTGTTAAGAATCTCATTGTACATTCGACGGACAGTCTCATGTGGCAGGGACTGCTTCATACCCAGGAGCTTGCTAACCTCGTTTGCCATGGGTCTCCATCCAAAGTCACCCCGATCTCTTTTCTTCCCCAGGGCCACAATCTTCTTTTGCACATTCTTGGATGGTTGCAGATCCTCGAGGTAGCTCTTGATTCCATTCACTTTGGGCTTGCCTGACTGAGTCCTCAATGTTGTTGTTTTGGCCTTGTTCTCCCGACCTTGTTGAAGGCGCCACACGAGTGTGTCTCGATCGAGTTCTTGTAGGGAACAAATCAACTTTCGAATAAAATTACCGGTAGGAGTCTCACTGTGACTGAACAATGTCGGATAGTCTTGAGGAATGATGTTGATGTTGTTCTTCTTGCTCTGCTTATAGATCTCCTCACCCACCATTGCATTCCTCGCCAAAGCACGGACACTCTCCACAAACACATGGACTGTTCGTTTCCTCTCCTCTGGCATGCCGGGTAGTTTGCGCTCCAGGATCTGCTTGAGGGTTGCTCGCTGGTCGTATTTGACATATCCAGAAATGACCTCTGCAATTGCCGAGTGAACCTGCATGCCTTGCTTTTCTGCAGCCTGAATGCACTGCGAAACTTGCCTTGCCCGGGAACCTTGCACCTTTTTCCCGAATGAGGAAGTGCGAGCATAGGCAATGTTCTCGACCTTTTTGGACTGGGTCATCTTCTGTTGAACTGCAGCCTTATTTCCTGGTAGTCTCGCCCATTTCTTCTTCAACTTGGTCTTGATGGTCTTGGGTTTAGGCATGGCGACAGCAGGACTGCAGGACTGTACCTATATTGAGCGTCAATGCCCATTGCAATGCCAAGGTGTCAGCTGCATCCCTCTGCACGAAAACT